CCCCGCCCCCCCGTCCAGCCCTACTTCTGCCACCCAGCCTCCCTTCCCCCGATTTCCGCCGGACAGCCCTGCTGCCCCCAACCCTGCTTCCCAGCAGCTGGTTTCCCCCACACACACACCCCCCCCCAGCCCCCCATCCCCTACTCCCTTCCCAGCAGCCACACTGAGGCCCGGTATTTTTTTCCCCGGAAATGCTGCTCTGTGGGATTGGAGAACTGCCACTCTCCCACTCAAAAGTAGCTGTATATCAGTGGCAGTCAACGATTATCCATTGTTTGCAAAGCATTTCCAATTCTCTTGGCCTACAACACTATACAAGTATAACTGGTTATAAACTTGAGTATCAATGTGGTTCTTACTTTGTCCAACAAACTTTGTCTATGAAATCTTGCATAGACATTTTGTCCCATTCTTCTGCATGTGGAGCCTTCCAAGGGGCTTCATTAGGAATCTAAGACAAGAAAGGAACAGACAATGTTCAGTAATAAAATTGCACACTGGGGATATGTCTTCATTACATACACTAGAACAGCACAGCTATGTTGTACGGCTATGCTGGCATAAACTCATAGGGCAGACAGCCCACACTGAGAGAAGCTAGGGGATGCTGCCACATCCCCAGGATCTTTCCTTCCAACACCTATGCTAGAGAGGTAAAATGCAGCAATGAAGTTCAGAAGTGTGCAATTCTATAACTCCTCTGTTTATGTTTAGAAGTACCTGGACTCTCATAGCTCGACAGTGTAGTGAGAACTAGTGAACATCATCTTTAACATGTACTTAACTGGTCAAGTTAGTTAAAGTCTCTGGGGAAGAAGTGCAGCATATGATGATGGCAGCAAGACTTGCCTACACTAGGCTATTAATGCATGTTAGTATGAGTCCTTTAACATGGGCCAACATAACACTTTGAATCCCACACTAGGGCTACATACCTCCTTTCCCATTTCATCCATTGTCCTCCACAGATTGTTGAAATCTAAGATGACAAAAGGATTCCACATGGTAGGAAATGCACCCTTAAAAGGATAACTTTTACCCTAAAAAAAAAAAGCATAATCAGAATCCAATATTAAAAATGATTGATTTGCTTGGATGATCACAACTTAAATTTAAATAGTCACAAACAACTCCAAAGAGTTCACACAGTAATAATCATTTGACAGATGATTAATCAGCACTTAATCAGCACTGTCTCAATGAGGGACAGAGGAGGCAGGGGAGTAGCAGGGACCAGGAACGAGCTGCAGGGCCGGCCTGACCATTTGTGTGCCCCGGGCCCTAGGAGCACGGCACAGGCACAGCCCCACTCCCAGGCACCCGGCGCATGCGCGGCAGCCCCATGCAGTGCCCCCTACCATGGGGCACCCCAGGCTGTAGCTTGTCAGCCCGTAGTTTAGGCCGGCTCTGATGAGCTGGGACAGCTGATTCCTGGCCCACGCCTTGTCCCTCGCTACGCCCCTGCCTCCCTTCCCCCTGTGGAGATGGTGCTGGGTACGAACCGGTTTTTAAGCCGACTCTCCCCAGCACAGCCCTGCCCCTTGTTGTCTTTCTGATAGATTAGCTCCTTGCTGAGAGAGGCAGCAAGGGGGAAAGAAGCGACTAGTCAACTGAAAAGGCAGAGCTGCAGTGGGATTAGCTTCTGAGCTAATCCCACTGCAGCTCCCCCGCTAATCGACTAATTGACTAGTCGATTAGTTGATTAAGATAAATTTAACATCCCTAGGAAGGACAGCATAAAAAGCATATTTGAGTGGTAGCACTTTTCTGGAGTGATCTGTTTTGTATGATATGTTTATGTTTGATTTTGAAGGAAACTAATGTATCCTTAACATGAAAAACCATGTAATATGTTCTCTCTCATTTAGGAAAGAAAATATAATCAAAGCAAAGTGACTGTGACAGGCTTTATTTCAGGAAGATGATCTTGTCAATAGCTCAGAGGTTTTTCCGAAAAAAAAAAACCCGTAGCAACGTATAGTTTCAGAAAGATTAAATACAAAGGTATCATTTGTAAATCATTAATCTTTATCAGCCTGCGATATTTTCCACAGTTTGTATAGGTAAGCTTCATGGACATAGGATAGCCAGTATGGAAGTCATTATTTTATTAATTGCATATTTTATACGTAGTTATTACTATGAATTCAGAAAGTCTGACCTGATTGAAAGAGAGGAAAGATGGATAATTTATAGATATTATTTTGTTTGCACAGGATTTCCCAGGTTGCTTTTGTGGCTGGCAGACTTGACAGCTTTCTGAAGCTACCAAAAGTCACTGATGTTTGTTATCCCCTTCCCAAAAAACACATTCCAAAACCTGCTGAGAATATTCTCTGGTAAGAACACTGTTTAATGTTGCAGGAATACACAGCTTTAGTGGAAAAAAATCATACTAATGCATTTAAGAGAGTATTGCAGCAATAGGAATACAACGGCTATAATACTAAATTTCAATACACATTTCATGCAGAGTCCCAGAAAAGATTACTGGCAACGTGAATACAAATTTATTTTTAAATGAGCATTATAACACAATTAAAATGTTCAGAAATGGATAGCAATAAACAATGTATTCCCAAACCTGAGCCATTCTTTTTAGGTAAAAAATCTGAGGAATTGTCCCAGACTGAGGTGCCATTAAAGGAGGTTTTGGAACAAATTGATAAACTTAACAGTAACAAGTCACCGGGACCAGACGGCATTCACCCAAGAGTAATGAAAGAACTCAAATGTGAAACTGTGGAATTAACAACTGTGGTTTGTAATCTGTCCTTTAAATTAACTTCTGTACTTCATGACTGGAAGATAACTAAAGTGATGACAATATTTAAAAAGGGCTCTAGAGGTGATCCTGGCAATTACAGACTGGTAAGTCTAACATTAGTTCCGGGCAAAATAGTTGAAACTATAGTGAAGAATAAAATTGTCAGACACATAGAGGAACATAATTTGTTGTA